GGTCCATTGAGACCTAAACCATCCCGTAGAGACGGTGATCAGGAAGACAAAGCCTTGCTCGTCTCAGGGATATCGCAAAATCCCTGTTAGACCCAAGGGAAGTGCTTTAAGCCCGCGGTGAACAGACAGCCCCTAGGCTGATGAAGTCGGGATACTCCGGAAGGAAGGAAGTAAAAGAGAAAGTGAGTCCATCTGGTGAGGTATTTTTTTCTATTTTGCTAAAGACTGCCCAAAGAAATGTTTCCTTAAAACCAAATTGATGCTTAAACAAAAAATAGTTACAATGACAAAGGGAAAAAATTTCCACAACGATCCCATTAGGATTATTTCCGCAGCTTAGTTCTTTTGTTTAAGCATCAATTTGGTTTTAAGGAAACATTTCTTTGGGCAGTCTTTTTAAAATAGAAAAAAATACCTCACCAGATGGACTCACTTTCTCTTTTACTTCCTTCCTTCCGGAGTATCCCGACTTCATCAGCCTAGGGGCTGTCTGTTCACCGCGGGCTTAAAGCACTTCCCTTGGGTCTAACAGGGATTTTGCGATATCCCTGAGACCAGCAAGGCTTTGTCTTCCTGATCACCATCTCTACGGGATGGTTTAGGTCTCAATAGACCACCTCCCAAGCGGCAAAAGTGTCAATGGTGGTCTCAGAATGTCCCTTATATGAATCTTCTTTTCTGATGCATTTGGTATCATTGGCAGCAAATTAAGGCATTTCTAGAATCTCTGCTCAAAAATAAGAATAAAGTTATGGGCTTAACTTTATTCTCTTCTGGGAAAGCGGGAGTGACTCTATTTTACTGTGATTGGCAGAAGGGCTGTGGCAATTTTGATCTGCTGGCAAAAGGAAGCAAAACTGAGGAGGGATTTCTGAGGTACATAGTAGGGTCCTGGTGAGTTGTGTTTCTAATTGAAAATTAAGGGAAATGTTTTATCTAGTGGAATTGCAAAATTCACTTTATGTTCTAAACCTTCCAGCTCTGCTGGTTAAAACAAACAATAAGCAAAGGGGCGGTCCTATTTGGTTGCTCATGTGAGATGTATAAAACACAGGTATGATGCAGATCTTAGACTGGCACTGCCCTTGTATTAGAGTGACTTGAGTTTTATCCAGTTTAGTTTGCCTTGTGCAAATAATACCAGAAATCAACAGTTCCCCTCCAAATAGGCTTTGGTTTATACCAACAGCAGTTTTATTTGCTCTTACTTTAAACTGCATGTTGTAATACCTTGCAATTCAATTTTTGAACGGCTTCATATTTATTTGTTTTTCAGGTTCGGCAAGAATTATTAGAAGAATTTGAACAAGTAAAGAGCATTGTCAACACCTTAGAGAGTTTTAAAATAGACAAGCCTACAGATATCCCTGTATCTTATCAAGATGAACATTTTAGAGATCCAATTGTGTGGCCACCTCCTGTTCCAGCTGAGCACAGGTAATTGGGTTTAAATAGGATGGCATGTTTACTTGCAGGCAGGCAGTAGCAACTACATTTTTTGAGACAAAGTAATATAATGATTGAGAAAAGAGCTGTTTTACCTTATTTCTCCTTTTTAAAATGTGAGCATTGACTATCAGATCAAACATTTGAACTATTATTCTAGTAATAATGCTTTACAATATATTTACATATTTGCATTACAAATATAATGTTAAGGTCTGTTTTTTTCTGCTGACTTGCTGTTAGTATGACAGTTATTAAAAACAGATATATAATTACAGGTTATAATTGCAGACTTTCATGGAAGACTTTACCAAAATACTATTTTTTTCAAAACCACTTCTAACCATAATTCCTAGATTCCAGTATGCTGGACTATTGAAAACCTTAATTTAGTTTGGAGTTGGCACAGAATTGTAGCTAAGTTTCCTAAATTGCAGTTTGGTGCGATGCCTGAATTGAGCTTCTGGTCCAATTATTTCTCGTACCTATTGTGATCAGACTGTAGTACTAAGTCCTCAGCCTTCTTTTTTCCACCTTTCTACTTATTTTCTAGCATCTGTCTCTGTCTCTACCTTTTCCCCAGTTTCCTAGTTCCTGCTCCATTGTGTGAGATGTGTACGTAGTTTTTCAATGTCTTCACTTAATTTCTATCATCATCATTTGCACAGCAATGAAAACGGATGAAAGGGATTATGTGGATACAAAGAACTATGTAGCTGTGAGGTAGCAGACCCTCCACCACAAAGCATAGCTATACCCTGGCTCTTTAGAGATCAAGATATGCAATTTGAACATTAGCTTTCCCCCAGAGTTGGTCAATTTTCCTCAGTTGTGGCACCTTTCAAAACTGAGTTCATAGAGTTTTCAGTAGTGGCTATGATGTTTTGAAATTCTGGACATAGTGTATAATATATGTATCTGGGGGACAATGTGTTCGGAAGACTAAAATTGAACAGCAATACAAGATGGAAATACGTTTACTTATCTTAGCAGTTTCTTGTGTGCTTCCTTCACATGACACAGAGTCCCACCTCAGATAAAACGACCCAATCGAGAAGTGAAACCTCTGCGGAGAGAATTGCCAGGATTACAACGGGGACCTGTGGGCAGAGCTCAACCAATATCAAAAAATGAAAAACCTGCTAGTAGTCGAGAGAGGGAATCTAAAGGAAAAGGGAAGGATGAAAAGGTAAGGCATAGAGCAGAGGTTTCCAACTTATATCCTTGCGGCATTCTGAAGGCATTTTCTGTAACTCACAAGAATGCTTTATAAAGGAAAGAATAAGGCTTATGTTTTATAAAGGAAAGAATATAGGCTTATGTTTATTGACTGGTGAGATCAAAGTCAACAGAAGGAGGCATTGCTCTCTGGCCATCTTTTTTGTGATAATGACATGAGGTGAAAGCAGACTAAACATAGGGGCAGCAGACAAGAAAGGAAGGTGTGATGCCACTTTGACCGTAGTCCAAAGCAATAGAAAACACCTCACTCACTACACACATATTAAGAAAGCAACTGTTGGAATTAGGGCAGCTACCGGTATTTGCCAGGTTCAGACAGGCATAGGCATAGATTATAAAACTGTGATGCTCACTGATTCATCACAGATACTAAGACCATTGGCTCTAGACTGAGCAGAAATTGGGGACTGTGCTCTTAGAATGGGTAAACAAAGAAGTATCTGCACTCTTAGTCCTGCATTTAGATGGTGTCACAGATAGGACAAGGGGTAGAGCTAGCTCTTTATTATTTAGTACTCCCTCCCCTCCCCTCCCTCCCTCCCTCCTTCCTTCCTTCCTTCCTTCCTTCCTTCCTTCCTTCCTTCCTTCCTTCCTTCCTTCCTTCCTTCCCCTAATAATGTATTTCCCAACATTGGTTGGATTATGTCTTGCATATAGTAGGCATTTATGGTTTGAAAGTAACTCAAAGGAAATACAGTTCTCAGAAGAAGAAAAAGTATTACCCAGAAAATAATTCTATTCTACTCTGCTCTGATTAAGCTGGGCATAGCTAAACAACTCCTGAATGCTACTTATTCTTTCCCTCCCACAATGGTCATCTAGCCTTCAGATCTTTCAAATTTCCATTTTTCATGAAAGATAATATTGGAAATCCCTGGTATTTATGATGGCTGGTTACTGGTTTTGGTTCCTTCATCCCACAACTACAATCCATCAAATTTATTTGAGTAGAACCCAGGTAATTTTTTAAGAGAGGAAAAAGAAATATTGATGAATACTTATGTGCCTCTAACTCCTTTATCCAGGGAAAGAAGATCCCCCAGGATGGTGGTGGTGACAGTGAAATTCAGAAATTTGATGGAACAGGATATGATAAAGATCTGGTTGAAGCTCTTGAGAGAGATATTGTGTCAAGAAATCTGAGTATTCATTGGTATAGTAATTCTGTAAAATGAGATATATTAATATTCATTGTGGATACATATCCAGAAGATGTTGACATTTGGGCAATGATTGTGTTTATTTTGTAGTAACTGCTGATATTTAAAAAACTCAATAGATTTGTTGCACATTAAAGATTAATGGTTTTGTAGGGCTTGATAGATTAGTCTAAATGCAGAACAATAAATTGAGAGCATAATACATAAAAAGAACTATTTCTTACATATCTGGGGTTATTTTGGATAACACTTCGGATATCTTTGCAGTACTTTTCCTTTTTTAAAAGGGTAGAATAATCTTTCATAGATGCATGACATTTAAAATAGCAAATTATTGTCAAGAGAAGATCAAATAGAAATAGTCTTTTATCAGCTAATATGCCCTGGGCAGTTTGTATATTGAGTCTGTTATTCTTGCCTTACAAATAAGAGAATCGTGCATAATAGAATTTTGAGATTTGAAAAACTGATAATTGCCAATAATACTCTATATCATTACATAAAAGTGTGATGATGTTAAATTTTAAATGTATATTGCATATTGTTTTATGGAAGATTGTGCTGTTAAAAGCTGTTTATGCAGCTATAAATATCTACTTGGAAAAATCTGTAAATTACAGATACCATATGGAGATACTTCAGCCTTAAAGCATTATAACTCTTCACAAGGCTCCCATAACAGTACAATAATTACTGTTAAGTCTAGATGGGATTGTAAACATGTGAAACTGAAAAAAGGTTGAAAATAGCTCAAATAAGATTTCCAGAAATATCTTTAATTCTCAAGTAATTTTAGCAGCCATTGTGTTTCTATCTAAGTTGGCAGGTGAGCTATGTGAGCACCTAAAAACTTCATCTTTCATTATTATTTCCCATATTATCGTATTTTTCGGAGTATAAGACGCACCTTTTTCCCTCAGAAAAGAGGCTGAAAATCTGGATGCGTCTTATATACCGAATACAGCATTTTTTTGACTCCAGAAACCCCGCCCCTTCACCAAAATGGCCGTGCATAGCCTTTAGGAGGCCTGCAGAGTGCTCCTGGGGGCTGGGGAGGGCAGAAATGAGCAAAAAACTGGCCATTTTTTTGCTCAATTTTGCCTCCCCAGCCCCCAGGATCACTATATAAGCCTCCTAAAGGCTATGCATGCCATTTGGGGGGTGGGAATGGGCTCGTTTTTGTGAAAAACCGGCCATTTTGGGGAGGTCTGCAAAGTGCAAAACCCTTTAAAAAAAAATTGCCTCTTCAAAATCTTGGTGCGTCTTATACTCCGAAAAATACGGTATTCATTTTCTCTGTGGATCACCGAGAACTGGACTTGTAGTGTTTTAAGGAGCTGCCTGAAAAGTAGCAATGCTGTAATTTGAAATTCTGCATGTGATCCTGGGTTTCCTTCTATTCATTCTGCCTGTCCCTAAAATAACAATATCATCTTAATTGTCTTTAATCTGCTGGTTTACTTTATTCATATATTGGGTCCTGGGCTGCAGAGGTGTGCAGATTTCCTGTCCTTTGCTAAAATAATTACTATGACTAAAACGGAATTATTGAAAGATTAAGGAGATATAGGTTTTTCAATTGCTCAATAGATGGGCCAGCTTTGAGTGTCACCCTAGAGTTTGGAGACAGTAGCCAAATCTAGAAAGCAGACCTGAAGCAAGAGTGATATGACAGATCCATATTGTTCATTCCAGTTCTGCTACGGCAGAAAAGCTTCTTGAGCTAATTGCGAGTGCTATTTTGCTTACAAAGCACACTTCATGTCTAAACAGTACCACGAACAAAAGGCTCATTACAGACACTCATTAAAATGTGCAACAATGCTGAAAAGCTTTTTAGGTGTTGCCTTGATAATCATGTTTTCAAGAAAATTATTTTTAAACTGAACATTCTGTTCCGCGATTAGCTGCAAGTCATTTTCCGCATGTCTTTTAAGTGGAAGGTCATTTTTCAGAACACTGAATTGTGCTAGCATCCTGTGCAAGAACTTGTCATTATATATTTTATCAATGAAGTGAAGTGCAAGCATTTAACATTTATTTATATATTTGTTGTTGGGGAAAAAAGATACATTATCTTTCTAAAACTGAGTTTCATTTTCCATAGGGATGATATCGCAGATTTAGAAGAAGCCAAAAAATTATTAAGAGAAGCAGTTGTTCTTCCACTGTGGATGCCAGATTTTTTCAAAGGAATCAGAAGACCTTGGAAAGTAAGAACGGTCTAGTTATTATATGTGTGTGATGTCCTTATGAAGATATACATATTCAAACATTTTCTCCTGCAATAAATCTACCAATTGTACATATTCAAACATTTTCTCCTGCAATAAATCTACCAATTTGGGGGTATATATTAAATATAAAGGGACTCGGTGGCTCAGTGACTAATACCCTGAGCTTGTCGATCAGAAAGGTTGCCAGTTTAGGGGTTGGAATCCCTAGCGCCGCTTAACAGAGTGAGCTCCTGTTACTTGTCCCAGCTTTTGCCAACCTAGCAGTTCAAAAGGATGTAAAAATGCAAGTAGAAAAATAGGAACCATCATTGTTGGGAAGGTAACAGCGTTCCGTGCGCCTTTGGTGTTTAGTCATGCCGACCACATGACCACGGAGATATTTTTGGACAGTGATGGCTCTTTGGCTTAGAACGGAGATGAGCACTGCCCCCTAGAGTGAGGAATGACTAGCACCTATGTGTGAGGGGAACATTTATTTTTACCTGTTAAATGTAATCTTTAGTATTACTTTAAAAAAAAAAGAAAATGAAATATTCTGAATAGAGACTCCTTGACTCCACGGATTCAAAAAAAGGGAGTTACGATCTGGATCTGAAATTCCGATTCTTCTCTCCCCACGGTCATGTATTCCTATTTCGAACACTCGGCAACTGGTTCACATTTATGGCTGTTTGCAGTGTTCTGTCATTAAATGACCTTCATTTATGATTTTGGTTTTTTGCTGGAAAACGGTATTTGCTTCTGGTTTCCTACAAAAAAAAGCGCAATACACCTATTGCAGATAATTGAGTTTGTTTAACGGCCACATATTCACTTAATGACCCTGCTGATTCACTTTAAGGATGACTGGAAAAATTGTTTGTAAAATTGAGTTGGTCAATTAATGACCAGCATGACTTACAACCATAATTCCGATTTCGATTATGGTTATAAGCTGAGGAGTACCTCTTTTGATACAAATAATTGAATATACTTAGTGAGTATGATCAGATGATGCTAAACCATCGTAGAAGATCTGTTTGAGGCTTTTGTTCTTCCTGTAAAGGACATAAGGCTAGAATTTTGTTCATTTATTTATTTGCTGGGCTTATTTCATTCTAGTTACTTCTGACTCTGTGCATCATGCATGTCCTCTGTAAATCAGGTCAAAACTAACAAAATTCCAATACAAAAATCAGAATAGGTCTATAGTTATAAACTTTGGAAATGTCAGTTATACTGAACAAATACTTCAAAACCAGAGGGAATAACATTAGGATTTCCCAATTCCCAAGGTCTGCTGGAAAAGCCACATTTTAATGGCCTTCCTAAAACTCTAAAACTATTTCAGGGGGGATGGTAGAGAAGGGAGGCAGCAATTGACAAAGCTCACTTCTGTGATGTTTTTTGATGACATTCCCAGAATTCAGACATAGAAATATTATTGACTGGGTAGATACATAGGTGGTCCCAATGATACCTGTTCCTGAGCTGTGAATGCTTTAAAGATGCCAACCAGAACCTAAAATTGCATATAAAATTGAATCCTAAAGTAGTGGGCTTATATGACTGAATTAAGGTGCTCCCATGACTACTCAAATTGCTGCATTCTGAATTATCTGTAGCTTCCAAATGTTATTTAAGAATAGCCCATGTAAACTGCTTGTACAGGTCCAAGCAAGAGATCACTAACCATGAATGAGGAAGTCTTAATTACTACACATAATGGAGCTGTGTGATGGCCCGGGCAGAAGTCATATGATAAGGTCACCAGATTGGCCATTTCTAAGATAGCATCAGATTATCTTGTTGCTGTAATAGTATTAACAGCTTCTCCATTGCCATTTATCTAGCAAATCTCATTCAACGAATTTATTCCAAGTAAAATGTCCTATGCCCTTCCCCCAAACCATTTCTAAAATATCAGGTATCTTTTATTGCAGATGAATTTGCAAGCTTTTACTGATCAAATTACTCATGTTTGATTTTTTTTTGGGGGGGGAGTACAAGTTTGTAGTGGTGGTTGAAATTATGAGACTTGTTATGGCTCAGTATTTTTATTTGGAACAAGTTCACTATCTGTCTTATGTTGAAATGAAGAAAATGGTTGTTATTATTATTATTATTCCCATTATTATCAAATAGTATGTTTTTTAGGAAGACTGGATTTTTAATAAAAGCTTTAGTTCTGTGGCTGCATATTCCTCTCCTCCTCCTTAAATTTTGATTTTAAATTGAATTATTGATTCACTGAATATCTTTCATTTTAGACAGGGTTAGGCAACCGACCCTGTCTTAGATGTAGCTATCATTCATTTCCCAGACACCTGTCAGTCTAATTTTCAGGCTTTTTAAATTACTGCTTTATTATCTGATTCCGTAATGGGATCTCCAGCAGGCCAAGCTTCTAGAGATCCCTAATGTATCAGAGTGAACATACAGCTGACCTGTAAAATAATCCATTCTACCTCTAGTTATATAAGCCTATTAGGGTCATTTCGATAAACATAAGCAAATGCAACTTACCTCCACTTAAGCTTAAATAGTTAGGTAGGCATTTGATAAGGCTTTTTCCTATTTTGACTTAAAACACATATAGTTGATATAGTTATAGATCAGGGCTGTCAAACTCAAGGCCCGTGCTCTGGATGCGGCCTGGAAATATCAAAGAAATGGGCCGCGGTGCCTCTAATGGCCAAAATGGGCTGCCGGAGGGGGGCACATGAGGCTCCTCTGTGGCACGTTTTCGGCCAGCAGAGTGCTGCAGAAGGCTCTGGAGGCTGAAAACTGGCTACTCGGGGGGTGGGTGGGTGCATGCACCCCCCCATGCCCTGTTTTGGCTGGCAAAGGCATTGTGGGCCGGTCCTTTGATATTTCCAAACCAGCTCCGTGGGCAGGAGACAGAGTGCTGCAGAAGGCAGAGGCACCCCACACACCATTTTGGCCAGCAGAGTGCTGCAGGAGCAGTACCATCTTCACCTTCGCTTTAGCAGCATCTGCTAACTGGAACTAGGCATCCTCCAAGATATGGATGACTGTTGTTTAGAAGAGTCAAAAACATCTGTCTGTTCACCCAGGTCTTTAATGAGAGAGAGAGCACACAGTCCAGTAACAAGCATGTTGTGTTTTGTGTTGTGTTGATGTGAATGATGATATAAACACACATCTACGTGGTTTTTTAAGTGATCTGCAGTTGTATGCTTTCCCAGGATATGGGAAATATAAAATATCTTGAATTGTTTCTTGCTTATGTCTGAAGTGGACAAAAAAAATCTTCAGCATTTGCACAGAATACTATATTTTTGTGAGTATGCTTTATGCAAGAATTCAGCATAAATTCTTCAGCTTGGCTGAATATATGTCTGGATACATGTTCTGGTAGGTCTGTGGAACCTTCCCATTACAGTGAATGGTTGTTTATAGATGCTTGGAATCCCCCCCCCTTATTTTTCTTCCAAAAGGCAAGGTCTGTGGTATAGGTTTTTTTTGTCTTGATGGCAAAGTCCTGATATAGATAAGGGTCCAGGGTAGAGATAACATTGGTAGCTAACTTTTATTTGTTATGAAGGATACTGGTTTAGGAGGGTTTTTTTTTTGAGAAGAATACAACATATTAGGAAGAAACATGATTTTTGAATAATTAATTTTGTTATATTTATTTTTATAATTTAAAAATAATTTTGAATCCCCCCCCCCCCGAAAGCACGCATTTTGCAAAATTTGTTTTAGTTTTCATTAGCTCTTTTATTGTAAAAATATGTACGCTGTTAATAGTGTAAAGTTCATTTTGATGTCTGGTGTTAATGTGATTATCCTAAAAGTACAATTTTTCTTTAGAAATCTTTTGATAGTAATTTTCAGGTGGATAAAAGATATTCAGTAACAGTAGCAAAACTGATGTGTGTATTCCCTTTATTCATTGCTTTCCTTTTATGAAATAATATAATGTCTGTAATTAAAAACCTGGTTTTACACAGAAGCAGTTAACCTTTGCTTCATGAATTATATGTGACTTTTCAACAGCTCTGAATACGCATTGATGAAAAAAAGAGAAAAGATCATGAAATGCTTATTCTAAGCATTCATGAGTCACATTTCACAACAGATCAAGATGGAAAATTTACCTTGCACAGTCAAAATAGCAAAATTGTAAGGATTATGGTTAGAGCACTAGGCAGAAGGACAGATGGAATTAGCTCTTTGAGATTGACCAGATAAAGAAATAGATACCTCAGAGAGGAATATATCCAAGCTTTTTAAATCTCATTTTATGTAAACAAAATCAAGATGGGATTATTTGGAGTTTCTTTCTCACACTTATTTCAGTCTCTAAAGTGTGCAGTCTCTTTTTCAAGTCCTTTCTTAATGGCTTTGTCCTTTCTTCCCCCACCAATGACTCTTTCATACTTTCTCCGGGGTAAATTCTAAATTTTTTACAAGTTGGGTGCAAAAGAACAAGTGAAATTTAAATTGTGAGTTTTAACTTTTGGAACCATTAGGTATATTTGGAATTTTTCAAATTCTTTTGCGGGCACATCACAAAATGATTAGTGTGATGGGTTTGCTCATAAAACAGACATTTAGCAAAAGATAAATCTTCCTCTCAAGATATTCTATACTCCTTTTTTGGGGGCAACCACCAGCTATTTAAAAGAAGTCCGAACAAAACAATAAAATCAGATGATCTGTGGTGTCTGGAGAGAACTAAGTGTTGCTAGGCACACTGGTGCTGTGCTGTGGACTTATCATTTAAAATATATAATTGTGAAGCTTTCCAAGACAGGCACAGGCCAGATAGGATTGTCCCAGAAATCTAAACACAGTTAGGAGCTGCCCATTTATTGTAAATCAGGAGTGGAAACTATTACATCAGCTAGTCGCATTTATTCTTCCCCTGGAGAACTCAGTTAAGGCATAGACCTAGCCTGTAGATGGCAGAGGGCCTGGAAGACTACATCCTCTACATTTCATCAGAATCCATAATGTCAAAAGAATCTCGCTGATGTTGCGAAATGTTCCCCCGCCTCTACAACAGACCATGCCCATGAAAAGACAAGCCAAGAGACAAGACTGGTTGGGAGTGATCAACTTCAAGGGCCTATGTCACCTCCAATTGCTTTCAATTCACCAGACATTGAACAGAATAGGCTACGGTTGCTGGGAACTCTCCTGAGCATTTGCTTGAATACATTCTTTTTCATAATACACATGGTGTGGTTTATCTTAATCTGCCTGATCATCTGGATGACAATTTTATTTAGATTATCTAAATGCTAGTCATATCAAAATCATGTAACAAGTGGTCTGAGGCAAAATGAGGTCAAAAATATAGCAGCCTGAGTATGATGGGCCAACGATTACTCATGGTTACTTGATCTTCATAGGTGGAGGCCATGAAATCCCAGTTGTCCCGGTTCTAGCCAGTGCATGGAGATTAAAGTCACCCAAACCTCAAAGATGAAGGAACTTCAACACTAGACCTGGGTAGGGATCCTGCCTGACAGGAGGGCAGCCAGAGCAGAAATAGGATTTTAGTTGACATTTCTTTTAAAATTACTGTATTTTTCAGACTATAAGACGCTCTGGACTATAAGATGCATCTAGCTTTTGGGGAGGAAAACAGGAAAAAAAATCTTCCTCTGTTTTCCAGCAATTCGCCTCCTTAGAGCAAACAGTAAACAGCCTAGTCAGTTTCAGCACAGCCTGATGTAGCACAAGCAGCTGATTGGCGGTTGGATCGGCCTCCTGGAATACCGCCTATCAGCTGTTCCAGGCTGTGGGGATTGCCGTTGCCGCCTATTCCCGCTGCCTGGAAAAGGCTGAAAATGGGCCTGCAGAGCTCAAAAATGGGACTCGTGGAGGCCGAAAATGGCGCACGGTGGTGATGGGCGGTGGTGATCCCCGCAGCCTGGAACAGCTGATAGGCAGTATTCCGGGAGGCTGATCCAACCACCAGTCAGCTGCTGGTACTAAATCAGGCTGTGCTGAAGCTGACCAGGCTGTTTCCTGTTTGCTGCAAAGAGGCATATTGCTGGGAGACAGGCCGAATGCTGGGGGCCGGCAAGTGGGTGGGGCTTCAGCAACATTCAGCAACTATAAGACTCACAGATATTTCCACTCACTTTTGGGGGTGGGGGAATTGCGTCCTATACATTGAAAAATACAGGTTCATATAGTTTGACGTCTGAAGAAAGAACTCTGTAAAATTCAGAAACTACCAGGTCAAATGATGCAGCTTTCTCTCCCATTTCAAGGGTTCAGATTCTCATTGTTGTTTAACACATCCAGTTCTTATATTAATAAATAGATGAAAAGTATTATGCTTTGTCTTGTGGTTTAGTCCAATTGGTCTGGAGGTTAAGACACGAGGGTAGAAACCAGGAGACTGTGAATTCTAGCCCCGCCTTAGACAGGAAAACCAACTGGATGATTTTGGACCAGTCAGTCTCTGTCAGGTCAACCAACCTCACAGGGTTGTTGTTGTTGTGGGAAAAAATAGGAGGAGAAAAGAATACTAGGTATGTTTGCTGCCTTGAGTTATTTTGTAAAAAAATAAAATAAAGATGGGATAAAAATAAATAAACATAAATTAAACATTAAATGCTTTCAGTGCTGGAGAACCTTAGTTGAAACATTCAGTTTTTACAGAAAGATGTGTTACAAATAAATTATTGAAAATGTGCTGACAGTTCTTTCTGTGAGCAGTAATAATCAAAGACATACAATTGGGCCCAATGTTTAATTATCTTTAATTATTCACAAGGCAAATGGAAGCATCAGAATCCAGGAGTGAATGAGTGATTTTTAAAAAGATTTATATAGTTGCCCATTTTGTGAGACACAACTGGTGAGTTGCTAACAAAGTAATAAAAAGACAATAAAAACAATACAACATAAAGAAAAAAAACCGTACACCTGGTCTAATAATTACATCCCTCCCCCAATGTATTCTTCCAGGCTCCACCCTTACAATCTCAATCCCTGGGATTAAAGTAATCTCTTAATAGCTTTCTGGAACATTAAGCGGATGGGGATCCTACCAGATCTCAAAGAGAAGGCAGGGGCGCTATGACAAAGTCATGCTTCCTAGGTTCACTAAAGTAGGGTTCCCCAACCTCTGGGTCGTGGCCCACTACTGGGCTTCGGTTTTATTCAAAGCTGGGCCATACAAACGGGTGACTGTGCATGCACAGCTCCACTTGTGTGAGTAGTGGGTGCTCACGCTTGTGCACAAAGCTCCATTTGTGTGGACAGCAGGTGCGCACATCCGGCACTTACTCAAATGGCATGTGCCTGCCCCTCGCATTGAACCATCCAAACACTTCCCCCCACTGGTCCAAGCTGGAACGGTTGGGGAATGCTGTATTAAAGGGCAACATAAGGGAAGGGACCTGAAGTATTCCTACTTTATCCAACCTAGTGAGGCAGGCAGATACCCTCAAAAAGAGACAGTTCCTCAAATCACCTGGCCCTGGGTCATAAAGGGTTTTAAAAGATTATCAGCACCTTGTGTTGCACCCAAAAAGAAGCTCAGCCTCCAGACCCTCACAGCTTCTGAGTATTTGGATCAGCACTGTGATGACATCCCTTGGGTATCATTACTGGATATAATTTGCTATTAAATGTTGAACTCCATTCCATTGGATAGCTCCATTGTATCTCCATTGCAGATACTGCAATGTGCTCTACATGGGGCTGCCCTTGAAGAGCATCCGGCGACTTCAGCTAGTCCAGAACGCGGCCGCGCGAGTGATTGTGGGTGCGCCTC